ACAGCAGCAACTGCCATCTCCGATGGAGATGAACAGCTGCTCCTGTGCTGCAATCACTGTGCCTGGCTCGCGGTGTGTGCAGGCCAAGCATGGCCGGGGCTCAGGGGAGGGGCAGCTGCCCTAAGTGCCTTCCCAAGAGCTGTGCCCCTATACCATCTGCAGCCTGACCTCGGCAATGACCTTGTCACAACTTCCTGGTCCCGCCCCTCGCCAACCGTGCATCAATCTCCACAGCCACACACTCAACAAACCACAGCAAACTGCAGTGGGAGGACAGCGGCTGCTGATCTCTCCCGCAGCCCCAAAACCACCTTAAGTGGAGTGGATAGGGACAGGCAGGGCCCAAGCTGGTCACTCTTGGGTCCAGTACTTCCCTCTGCCCTGGATGGCTTTGGTCGTGGGTCTGGGAGTGGCAGCAGCTGGCCAGCCACCCAGATCCAACCGTGGTGCCCGGCTTCTCCTCGTGTGGCGGAGCCATCACAGGGCAGCAGGCTCCACTGTGCCATGCATGGGGCTGTCAACGGTCAAGTCCCCAGTGGGTCATGTGGGGGAGGCTGTGTCCCAGGCAGTGGTGGGGCCTAGGAGGAGACCCATGGGGCTGGGGAGAGGGCCCAGTGTGGAAGCGATTAATGGGCTCTGCCAGGTTCAGGATCCCGAGGGCCCACCCAGCTCTCCCCACTGCCCCTGGAGCCGACCCCTCTCTCGCCAAAAGACACCTGCCATCACCCCCGCCATGGGGTGCCCTGGGCACACCACCTGCTCTCTCAGCCACAGGCTAAGTGGAGTTGCCTGGGTTTCCCTGATGCATAGCTAGCAGCTAAATGGAGTAGCTGGGCCTCAGCACAGGGATGAGAGGTGGTACAACTGGTAGCATGGGGAGGGGCTGAAGAAGCGAGGGGGCGCTGATGGAGGTGTGGTGTCCTCACAGAACCAGGCTGGACCCCAACGAAGGTTGTCCAGGGGTGCAAAGCGGGTGCAGCGCTGGCCTCACAGTGTGATGCCTGGGCTCCCTAGTCACCCAGGGCCCTGGGCCGCAGGGACCCAGCACCTGGCCTTGGGGAAGGAAGGGACCTGTGCAATGGTCCTGACGGCATGCGAGGGCCTGCGTGGAAAAGATCAAGGCAGGAAAAGTGGCACCGAGCACCTCTGGACAGCCTGGTGCCGCAGGAGGTGAGGGCACAGGGGGCAGGAATGGCCAGGACACGGCTACATACAGGGTGTTGGCCCAAGGACAGTGGGAGACAGGCTGGGGCTGAGCGGGCCGCCGAAAAATGCTGACCATCACGGTCCTGCAGAGGGGACCAGGGCTGCAAGAGGCTGAGTAGCTGTGGGAGAGCCCTCAGCTGGGGCACCAGGACCAGCGGGCCCAGGACCACACTCACTGCAGGTGGTCCTGCGAAGCCCAGCCTGGCCAGGTGCTGGATGCAGCTGGACATGGGTCCCCTCCACTGGTGCAGCTTCACACACGAGACGGTGCGGGCGGCTGCGGAGCAACAGATCCCAGGGATGCCCTCCTTTCTGGCCAGGCAGCACCACCTGGCTCTGAGGGGCACTTTCTGTACCCGTGGGTGGGGGCATCAGCTCTCTACAGGGGCAGGGCCAGAGGCCAGAGTCACGGCTGCCTGTTCTGATTCATCCACAGCCCCCATCCGTCATGCTCCCGGCAGTTAGTTAGGGAGTTATCACCTCAATTCAGACATCTCAATATACAAGCGAAGACCCCCAAGACCCCGACTCCAGCTGCTGATCCCCTGGATACCCAGGAATTAATCAGCAGCCACAGATCTCACTCCCTGGGTGCCAACTAGCAGCCAGGATGGCCGAGGGCCAGGGCACACTTATTTCCTCTTCAGCACACCTAACTTTTTGACTCCTTTAACAAGCATTTATGTGCCTCGAATTATTCCCAGCTCCAAGGGGCTGGGGACCATGTCACTCATGATCTCAAGGAGCCCACAGCCCAGTGGACTGAGCAGCTCACACAGCACAGGACAAGGCCTGAGGGTCCCTGCTAGGCCAGTGGGCAAGCAGTGCATTCCCAGCATGGAAAGGGCAGAGCTTCTGACAGGGAACGTGAGTCCCAGATGCAGGGTCTCGAGAGACTGGCACAGGCAGCTTCCCTAGGAGCCTTCTGCGCGCACCTGGTGAGGCTGAGATCACTGTGGCCAAAGGAACCCAGAGAAGGCAACAAGAACAAAGCCACGGCATGCTGGTGCCAGTCACACGCAGTACAATTCACACAGATGGAGGGGCAGAGCCTGCTTGTGCAAGGCGCACACCTGCCACCTGCCCTGTGTCCTAGGGCTGTCGTGCAGAGAGGACTGGGCAGGGTGTCCCCTCCCCTGCTGGCCAAGCCCCCATTCACTCTGCTGAAGGCAGGCAGAGGCTGAGTCGGTGTGGTACCAGGAAGACAAAAGCTCAGGAAAGGGCCCAGGTGGCACCACCACACGGCTAACAGCAGCAGGCAGGCTGTGGGCTCTACCGGGAGATGGACATGGCGCCTCCAGTAAGGCATCGCCCTGATGCTGGGGTGAGGGAGGTGGGCCTGTCACCTGCAGGCATATGACCAGGCACAGGGGGAGGACTTGGCTCAGAGAAGGGTCTCCATCTCACATGCGTCCCTCTGTGGGTACAGCAGGGAGGGCCAGAGGACAGAAGGGGCTCCTAGTGACAGCTCAGCCCCATGTCACCACTGTCAGCTGCTGCAGCCCTCACAGGTGGTGAGCGGCCCAGGGAGGGAGCAGGGAAGTGGCAGCTCCCTGCTCCTGGCTGTGAAGCACCCATGGGCCCCTGTAGGGCGTCTCCACCCAAATGGTGCATCACGGCAGAGGACAGGACGGGAGAGGTGGCGAGTGGCCCTGGGGGGACAGTTTGCAATCCCACCCTCCAAGTCACCAGGAGCAGGGAGCACTGTCAGCAAGGGGCAGTCAGGAAGTGGTGTGGCCTCCCTTTCCCCGGATGGACGGACGCCACTGAGCTCATCTCTCCAACCCCTCTTGTGCCCACTCTGTGGTCCTGACAGAGCCCGAGATAGGCTGTGGGTACAGTTCCCTTTTGAAAGTGACCCCTAAAAACAGAAGTGGAGGCCAGGAAGTGAGACAGGGAAGAAAAACTGACACAGGTACACTGGATGGTCACCACTGTGGGCCACTGAACTGGCTCCAGTCGACAGCCCTGAAAGGAGTGCCCTGCCCAGCCAGGCCCCGGAAGGCACAGTTCAGCAGCCTTGCAGACAGGGACGTGGCCCTTGTGGAGGCAGGAAGAAGAGGCGGGGGCCAGGGTCTTCACACTGGCTGTCACAGGACTTGTGCCCACATGCGTGCCTGTCCATGCTGGGCTCTGAAGGGCCCTTCCCTTCACTCCACACTCCCCGCCCACCTGCCTACGCTCTTCTCAGACCTTGGAGACTAAGCTCCAGCAGCCCCTCAGTGCCTGGCCTTCCCCTCAAGCATCTCCACCAGTCAGAGCTTCCCTTTCGGCCTCCCCCTCCACCTCCTGGCAGACAGCTGGGGTTGGCCCTCCAAAGACCAGATACTGCTGCCTTCTAATCTTCTCCAGGACACAGGATCATATACTGCAGAGGTAGTGGGCCCACAGGGAGGTCTTCGGGTCACAGGGCGGGTGTCTAAAGGGGACTGAAGGGTCTAACTTGGCTCTTCCTGCTTCCCCCACATCCCAGCTGAGTAAGGCTCTGCTCAGCCACATGCCCAAAACTCTCAGTGTAGTGAGCCCAGCAAACCACCTCTGCACGCTGACGTAGCTCAGGGATCTTCTGTGACCACAGCTGCCTGGCAGAGAAGGGAAGGGCACGGGGACCAGAAGTGCTCTCCATGGCCTCAGACAGGCTGGGACCAGCAGGACTGTCTGAGCCATCAGAGGTGACAGAAGTGGTGGTTAGCCCCTTCCTGCTGCAGTCCAGATGTGTGCAGACCTCAGGACAGGTGGAGCCGAGCGAAGCTGCCGAGGAAAAGCATGCTTGTGCCCAACCTTACATACTGAAGCTGCCAGCCATCACACAGAGTCCATACAGTCTGACAGGAGGCCAACCGTAAGAGCCTTGCACAGTTCAGGTGGCGCTGAAGGAGGAAAGCAAGCTGCCCGGCTGTGTACCCATATTCGGAAGCCCAAGGCCTGCTTGCAAGGGGAGAAAAACACCCCAATCTATAGATGCACATGGGGGGTGTAGAAAATTGTCTGTTTTATATTTTATTACATCAATGGCTTGAAAATTTTTATTTAATTTCAGCAAATATTGGAAATAGAAAAATGAATTCTGCAGAATTTCACAAATAAAATCTTCCAATTTCCACTAACAAATGTTATCATTCAATGGCTAAGCAATTATAATGCTATGAACATTCACAACAATGAGTGTGCTGAAATAGAAAACAGGCAGAGAGACATGAAAATATTACTTACAACAGCATTATTACAACATATTTTCTTTAAAATTTCAATGTTGATTTTATCACTTCAAAAGATATACAGCATTTCCATTATATTTGCAAACTTAACCTTATACATCTTTTAAAATTTTGAAAAATTTTTAAGCAATCTAAAAAGCACTTAGCAAAGTTGTAAGTCTACATATGGAATACTATCCACTCCAGTATAAATTTTCATTTAGGAGAAGGTGACTGTAAACACTCATTATTTTACAACATGCATAGACTATCCTGACCTTCTTTCTTCTGAATTGTAACGTTACCGCAATTGTGCTTTACTACAAGTAGGAGAAGCTGCAGAGCCCCAGGGCGTGGCAGAAAGCATCGCACGGATCACTGATTCCGAGGACTAACGAACGACCCGACCTGGACAGAGTTCATAGGAGGCAGGCAGGGCAATGGACACTGAGAGCTGGGATCCTGGGCTCAAGAGATCAGAAAAGGGTGGTGGGGGACACAGAGAGACCGACGGGAGGGGAGGGGAGGAGGACTGAGAGAGACAGAGAGAGAGAGAGGGAGGGGAGAGGGTGGGAAAGAGGCTCTCACTGGAGTTAGCTCCATCTTTCCTTTTCTCGTGTAAAAGCAGAGATCCAGTTAGTGTAATGCACTGTTTGGCTTCTTTTTGGTGTGCAATTATACCAATAGTACATCTGATATTCAGAAAGACAAAAATAGGGTAGAGTTGAAATTTAAAGTGACAATGAGCACACTTAAGAGTGGTGTGGGATATTAGAGGAAATTTAACATAAACAGGAAAGAACTGCTTCGTTGTTGTTTTGCATTAGAGGCTGCGACTGCCAGCTGACTGCCAGCGGGCCTTAGAAGGTAGGAAGTAGTAGGAATCACTCCAAGGGCCCCGACAGCACGGGGGGGTGGGGAGCCAACCACCCTCTAGCCTCTCGCGCACCAGCACCTGCCGGCCCCAGCAGGCGACCAAGGCTGGGGCCTCCTGGTTCAAGGAGTTGCACTGGGGAGCCGGTTGCCCGCCGCTGCTGACCAGCTAACACAACATTCAAGTAACGCAGTGTTAAATGGATAAAGGAAAACAATTTTACCTAACACTTTACACATTTACATAAAATTAAATAAAACAAACTTTTAATGCATATCAATACAATTTATATCTTTTAGAATTTCTAAACTAAAAATTAAACTATTCTTTGCATCCATGATACTATATTTTGCACAATAACTTATACTTAGGAGAATTTTTCCACAAAAATATATATAATTATGACATTCACATTGATAATTTTTAAGAACACAAAGCTTAAGTGACATTCCACCCGAAGCAGTCATCGTGTCCCAAACCTAGCCCACTGATGCATGATTCTTGGTATATTAAAGAGTCTTCACATAAATAAGACCAGAGAGCATCCAACCTGGCTTCTGAAGCAAAGTGATTTCTTGCATTTACACAACTGCCAAACAGTGTAAGGAACAGCGTCTAAGGTTCAGTGCTCCCAGATGCACAGCCTCCGGGGAGGCCAGCAGGCAGGCCACACTGCAGAGCAAGCTCCAGCTGAGCAGCCTCGAGCCTGAGGATGCCCAGTGCCAGGGACCGGGACAACACAGCACAGACTGGGACCTGCCACCATGCCACCTGCAGCCAAGCATCATTTCTAGGCTCTGCTGGAAGGGCTCACATCTTAGGGGAACATGGGGAGGGGCGGGATGGGGTGACACTGCCCCCTTGCAGTGCTGGCTGCTGCTGCTGCCCTCGCCAAGAACAAGGGCGTGTGTCCAGTCAAGAGGACGGAGGCCACGGTGAGGGCCTCGGTGTTCTTGTGAGCCAGTTCTTTTCTATCGTCACTCAGTCCCATAGCAGGCCTGCGGGGACACAGAAACCTGCCCAGTGCCAAAGGTGGGAACAGCAGGCTCTCCTTGGCCAGTGGACTCGCTGTGTGGGACAAGTCCTTGCACTCCTCTTTGGAGTGACCTTTCCCTAGATGTCAAAAACGAAATGTACAAACCCCAAAACCCAGGGTCCTAGCTGAGCCTCTTTCTAAAGAGAAAATCAGCTGACCAAAAAAAAAAGCAAGGTGCTTGGGAGTCAAAACATCAAATTTTTAATTGCATATTTAAAATCCTTAAGAATTCTGTTTATGCCTTAAAGCATCTGTACTTTTTTTTCTTTTTGGTATTAAAAGCAGGAAAAAAATATTCAAATGATGCAAACAACCACCAAATCTCCTTCCACATCTTTAGTGCATCTGCAGCGGCCGTGGGTGCCAGGTACAGCTTGGCTGTCTGCGCCTCACAGGCCAAAAAGACCCAGGAAACCCTAGCACACTCATCAGAAAGCTTGTCCGCTCCCCATCTAACCAAAAGGCATCACAGGCCACTCTGTAGACCGTTTTCTTCTCTCCTCGGTCTCACTGGACCACACAATGACTACTTCTCTGTCTCGCGCTCTGCTACCAAGAGCAGGGAATGGTGTCTGTGTCACCACAACAGCACTAGAGGGACATAAAGGGGCACATGGAGTGACGCACAGCAGGCCAGGCACACTGAGGACAGGGACGACGGGTGACACTTCCATAAACCCAGCAGCAGCTCTTCTAACCCATTAGCCAGCGCTAGGCTGGCGTCTCACGTGGGCACTGCTGGAGCGGGCAGAAGCATACCCCATCTGCCTCGATGACATCATCTTTGGCAAGCAATAACTTTAAGTAAGACACTTGAACAGAAAAAGGGAGCGATATAACATGGTTGCCAAGAGGAGAAGGCACCAATTCCGAGTGTACAAGCACCAGGTACAGTGATATGGACCGAATCTCTCGGAGCTGGGCGGCAGCGGTGATGGTCGGGGATCAGAAAAAGATGGGGCGCACCCACCCTGGGACTGCAATGCTGAGGCTGAAGGCAGAAAGCGCTGAGGTCTAATATTCCCTGTAAGCTAGTGTCCAAGGACAGTTGCTGTGATGAGCTTTTAAACACTTGGGAAAGGAGAAAGGGGAGAGATTTAAGCCAACTAAGTTTATGAACCATAATTCCACTCTATACTTGGGGAACTGAGTTGCATCAGGATGCTTGGCACAATAAGGTTACAATGCCGTCTGCCAATGTATGGTGACTTCAAAAGAAGCCTGGTAGTACTTAGGTGGCTGCCCAGAAAAGAACAAGAACTTTCTAGAAAGCCAACTGGGTCAGTTATTCTGGAAATGACATTATGCATAAAGTAGAAATTGCAGGTCATGCAGGAACAGAGTCGAGCCTTCTGAGACCCCCTGTTCCGAAGCTGCTGATGGGTAAGAGCTGCCATTGGTGGGGCATAGGGCTCCAAGTAGGGGGTGGGTCCGCGTCGAGGGGGTACAGGTGTGGGTCCCCAGCACTGAGGCAGAGTGAGAGATGCAACAGAACTCTCTGGGAAGTGGTGCCGACATGGAGGAGCGAGCAACGGGTTAAGGCAGATGAGCACGGAACTGAAGTGCACGCCTTTTTGGTAACAGCTGCTGTCACAGAGATGTGATGCAGATGGCTAGGTGATGTCTCATAATACCTGATACCCTGGATAGCACGGAGTCCACACCAAGTGTTCAAGGCTACCAGTGTTCTCATGAGGCGGACGCGTATCTGACATCGAGGACAGAGGCAGCCTAGGGAGAGGGAAGGAGGATCAGTACAGACAACAAAGCCCCAACTGCTCTGCTGCCCTCAGTGCTTATGGCCACACCACCCGGGCTAAATGAAAACCTGGCAGGCTGCACCAGCACAGCTGGCCAGGGGAACACGGGTGAGCCGCAGCCCTGCCTGAGGGGGGCAGTGGCCCTTGGCCCTGCCACGAGCCTGCAAAAGGCCAGTGGCTTGTACTGGGAGCGGGGTGTGCAGGACCACAAGCTTTTTAGAGCCTCACAGGCACTTCTTCTCTTCCTGCTCCACAGGGGGAGGCGTACCCTGCAGCCTTACTGCTGGGAAACAATTGGAGGAATTCAAAATCTGAAAGCGCTGCTCCTTCAGGTGAAAAAGCAATTTATGGGAACTGCTGCTAGTTCAGTCAGGATTCTTTCTCCTCACTAGTAATGTATCCGATCACCGCTCAATTTTAACGGAGGCCCCAGCAGCCCTAATACCCCTTCTTTGTTGCCAGGCTAAAAGTAGCACCCCCCCACCCCTTGCCTGACACCTCGAGGACCTCCAGGTCACCCTCCCAACTTGGCTGAGAAGAAGAAAGGTCTGCAAGGGGCAGATGATGCTGCAAATCGCCACAACTTCTGGGAACTGTGCCTCCTCCTCTCTGCCTGCTCTGCAGGGGACAAGACGGGAGGCTGGATGGGACGAGAGAGACATCACCCAATGAGCTCGCCAGGCCAGGTCGACATCACCCACATTCAAACAGCTAGCTCCCTTAGGCCCTGGGCACGTAGACTAGATTAATTCCTTCTACAAACTAATGCGATGAGCAGAAAGGCCAGAAGAGGCAGAGGGGAGGATGGACACCGTTAAGCCGAGTGAAAGAAAAGGAGGACACAGCCGAGATGACCAAGGGGAAGGAGGGTCACAGACATCTTAGATCAGCGGCTCCCACTGTGTAAGGATGGCTCTCAAAGAGGTGACTGGGAAGGTAGATACGGGGCGCTGAACACAAGAAGATGGGAGTGGGCGGGGCACTCACATGGGACATGACTACAGGGTCAGCCACTGTCCCAGCAGCTGCGACAGCCAAAGGACCCAGAACTGTCCCACTGATATGATAGCTAAGCCAGGCAGCCCCAAACAGCACCAAAGGCTGGAAGAGGGCAGCAGGGACAAGCCCAGCACACAGGTGACAGACCTGCACAGACACCCCCAGGCCACCCCACTGACCACCACATGCCTGTCTCACTGACTTCAGAGCAGCTGGCCGTGTGGAAGACTTTTTATCTGGAAGAATCCAGAATGAATGAAGAACCTGCTCAGAACAATAAACTGACAAGAACTGTCCAGCATTAGCACACGTGAATCACAGCAAACAGGAGGAACAGCTGGAACCTAGGGCATCTCACCAGCTGGAGGTGCAGGTCCAGCAGCAGGAGGAAACCACCCTGTGCCAGACTTACCTCGTCCTCCTCTTCAGGCATCTTGATGGGGTTATCTGGGGACTTGACAGGCTTCTGGGCGCTGGGCCCGTTGGTCTCTTCTTTACCGTGTTCTGCCTCCCATTCTTGTAAAACTTCATCTATGTTGAAGCGGCGTCGATAGTTGACAAAAAAGTTCTTGACCTGTACCACTGACTTATTCCCAATCACATCTGAGATTGCTTGAAAATCTCGGCCATATTTCCGGATGGCTGAGGACAGAAGAGAGGTTCTGTTTTATCAATTTCATTTTATTTTGGGCTGGGGATTTAGCTCAGTGGTTCCACCACCTGCCTTGCAAGTGCAAGGTCCTGAGGTCAATTTCCAGTATCCAAAACAGAACAAAACAAAACAATAATAATTTAATTTTAAAGATTCATTCATTCATTCCAGTACCAGGGATTGAATTTAGGACCTTGGACTTGCAAGGCAGACAGACACAGCACCACTGAGCTAAATCCCCGGCCCTGTTTTATTTTTTTAAAAAGAAAACAAAAACACTTTTTATAAACCACTACTAAAGCTCAGCCCCTTCAACCTGGTAAGAAAGCGCACAGGCTTTTAACAGCAGGCGCCAGCCAGCTTGTCACGCTATGAGAAGACAAGGTCCACTCTAGACTGTGGGAGTCCAGCAAGGCCCTATCATCTAGAAATCTGTCTTCCCATCATGCTAGATGGGGCCTGTTTCTAAAGCCTCCACAAGGGCCATGGTGTGGGCCAAGGCCTGGGCACCTTTGCATTCTAACAATCTGCCCAGAGGAGTTCACTTTTCGACTATTTAGAGCTGGACAAGTATCTGCTGAAGTATAGAAGTCACATCCTTAGAACACTGTGCCTCCCACATCAGTTTTTGTAACTTGTGAGAAATGGGAAAGTAAAGACTTCCCAGGAGCACAGAGCTCTGTGGCTGAAGTGACCCCTGCAGAAGGTCCCCTTGCGCATGAGCAGCTTCGGGGCTCCCTGGGCTTTTGGAGGAGAGCCCCACATACCTTGCACGGCGAGAAGCTGCTCTTCCGTGGTCCAGCGCGCATTGCACTTCTGAATGACCTAGACAGGTGGACAGTGACACTCAGAGACAAGCACGTCCTTCTGAGAGACCAACCAGTGCTCTCCCCCCACATTGTAATTTTTATACCAGGTGGGTTTAGGAAATTACATCTATCCCCTGCTAACAGACGCATACTAGGAACATGTCCCCAGTCATTAAAGTCAGGGAGACTTCTGAGGCGACTAATACGATCTTACCTCTGGAAGTCGATATGGTTCTATTCCACCATCAAGTTTTTCTTTGAGAGCACTGTTTGTCTGTTTAATATTCTGAATCTAAAAAGGAAAAACATTTTCATTTTATACAGAAAACTTTTAGAAAAACATGAAAAGAGAAGTTAAAAAAAAAATCACAAGAAACAAGAAAACCAAGAGCTGAGATGTTCCTGACCCCCTGCAGTGTCCTCAGAGGGCATCCTACAAAGCTCCTCCATCTGCTTCCTGAGGGGCAGTGAGGGTCAGACAGTAGCCACACCACTGCTCCTAACAGCCTGGCGACTGCCGGCATTGCAGAACACGGCTGGGACTGACAGAGGGCAGGTAAGGCCTGAGCTTGCACCACCTGAACGCGAGCAGCAGGAACAGCAGCCAGGTGACAGCCGTCTGGTCCCATCCCACACTGTCCACACATCAGTCTACATGGGCAGAGGCTCCAAGCACAGATGGCCTCCATGGGGCAAAAGGAAGCTGCACACACCAGTGAGTGCGGCACAACTTAACTTGCATCAACGGCACCAGCCTCATTTTCTTGCAAACTCCTTTTCTCTACGCAGACATAAACACCACACAGCAAGCAAGCAAGCCCTGCACTCTTCACACCCCCAGGTGAAGCATTTTTGTGCTGTGCCCATCTCAGAAACAGCACAAGCAAAGGGAAAGCAGCAGAAGGCACAGGTTGATTTTCCAAGGAAATCATGAGAGCCATTCTCAAGTAGAAGATCCCCGCCAAAGACTAACTCCGGCTAGCAAAGGAGTGAGCAGGAACCTTGATTTTCTGAAATCTGTTTTGAAAAGGTGCAAATGGGAGGAGAATAAAATGACGGTGGAACTTTACCCCAAGTAAGGTGTGGATTTAGTAACACAAGCTCTGTGACCAGTGCTGTCCGGGACAGTGACATCAGGGATCCCCGAGGCTGGGCTGGCTCAACCGGCCCACCACATGCTGCCTGGGCCTGGGCACGCTCACCACATCCCCTTAGCTGAGAAGCGGAGCCCATTCTGGTATAACGCATGCCCCTGAGCGCTCCTGGGACCTGTGCCACCCTGTGCTTGAGCTGGCTCTTTGCAGACGACACACACTGGATGTACACTGTCCTGTGACTGTGTAGCATGTACTTCCCGGGAGACCAACGGGTTCACACATCTCCTGTTCTAAGGCTGTGAGTAAAGTGCACAGGTCAAACACACAACACCAAACGTTAGCTCTAAGTTCTCACGTGCTGTGCCACTGATCCCAGGCACTTTCCTCACTGGAAACACCTGAGGGTTACGGTTAGCTCAAGGGCAGCGGCAGATGCCAACACCATGCCAACTGTCAAGAAGCTGAATGGCAAGAAGGGTAAGAATCAGGACAGAAAGTAATCAGCACTTAAAAAGGGCAAAATGAAAAACAGAGTAATGCACATGGCCAATTCCCAAGGCCTTGACTTGCCAGCTGAACACAGCTTGCTTCTTCTACTCTCCTCCTCTCTGCTGTCACACCATTTCCTTCTCCAGCAGCACTGAAGGTGACAGCACTCTCTGCAAGCAAGCAGTCATGCTGGCCCTGCTCTCTGGGCCTGATATAGGACCTGGCTGCAGGCACTATGAGGGACTGCTGCTAAGGGGCTTTGCTTGTCCTGTGACAGGGACAGGCCAGTTAGCTCCGCCTTCACCTCCTCCTTCCACCCTGAGTATAGGTGTAAGGGCTAGAAATGGCCTCCACAGGCTCCGACAATGTCAGGAGAAGACAGTGAGCTCAGAATGGTGGGGGAGAGGGTCCAAAGAGAGAACCTGGTCCTTGACAGTGGCACTGAATGGTGACCACTCCCACAGAGAATGAAGTATTCTTTAGGTGTCTCAGCTGCTGCTGCTTTTCTGCTGCCCTCAGGTGGGTGCGTCCTGACAGTCCCGACAGGCCAGCATTCCTGTCCAGGGTGGCTGCCTGCCATCCCTGCTATGTGTCTCTAGGAGTGCTTTGCTCTGCATAACCGGCTCCTCTCCTCCCTCAGGCAGTCAGGCTCTAAGTGTCTTCAAAATCATCAATTCCTCAGCAGCTTCTTCCAATGATGAACATTCCTGCCCTTGACTTTGCTCTCAAAAACTAAATCATCTTTTCTCTTTCACCAAAGTCCTGACAGCTGTGTGGAGAGGGGACTCTTCTCTCCTCCATTCATGCACCTCTGTAACTGCCCTGGGCCCCTCAGCAGAGGGCAATGAGGATGACGAAGCCCGGCCTTCATGGGGAACGTTGCCACTGGGAAGCACTGTGAGCACTCGGGCCACAGGATCCACTCCACACCTTAGCAGGGGCCCAGGGAGGTGAAGCAGGTCTCACTGTGGCCTCAACATGCAATAAGGCCACACAATGCCACAGCTGATGGGGGGTATGTGTGGCCACAGAACCCTTGAAACAGCCTCATGGCTGGGGATTTAGCCCCATTTCCAGGAGTCTGGGATCCAGACACATGCCAGTGTCTTTCCAGCAGCAGCAAAGCCTGCCAGCTGGAATCTACTCAGGAAAGGTCCCTGGGTCACTGGGAAGGATGAGAGCAAGCCGTGCCAGCTCTCGAGACAAGAAGCTGGCCTCCATTCCAGGGACTCCTGTGATCCAGTCAGTGTCACCTCCCTGAAGTGGAAGATGGGCCACAGACCCCATTCTTCTTCTGGGAAAGGCCAGCCAGCCTCCCACCTAGCCTTGCAAGGAACCATCAAGATTAACAAATCAAAAGAAGCACAACCCCAAACAAACTGTAGGCCATCAGGAGATGGTTTCCTGGAAGTGAGTTCCAGAGGGAGGGAAGCAAGAAGAGACAAGAGGTAATGAAATGCCACTGCCAGACTGTTTAAGGTACTATACAATCAGAGAAGTGATGAAGCCTTTCTACACAGCAAGTACAGACAACTACAAAAGATCTTCTTTCTTTCTATCTATCTATCTATCTATCTATTTATTTTTGTTACTGGGGATTGAACTCAGGACCTTGCACTTAGAAGGCAGATGGCGGCACCACTGAGCTAAATCCCTGGCTACAAAAGATAATTTAAAACACAATATCCTTCACAAGGGCACCACAAACAGCACCGATCACCTAGGGATAACACTACCAAGGGATGTTTTGGCCCTGTGCACGAAAAATAACAACACAGAGAAAAAGCATCTGACTGATGAGTTTGAGTGGAAATCATGTTCACTCATCAGAATTCAATATAGGCACCAACCTGACAGCTGCAATCCCATCCAACAAAGACTCCAGCAGAGCAACTCCTCTGGAAATTAAGAGTGGGTCCAACGTTTACGTGGAGATATGAAGCATCAGGGATGACCAAGACCTTGGAGACTTGTGCAGGTACACACTGACAAGGTGTGTGAGTTAGTATGCCATGTGTCGGTGAAGGGTGAACAAATGGACCAAAGGAACGGAATTCCATTCTATGCCCAGGCCTGTGCAGACCTTGGATCTCAAACCCAGAGCATGGAGCACTGCAGTGGGAAAGACAATCCTTTCACTAAGAAGCATAGTACGTGGTGAAACAGATGTCCAAGTTTTTAAAAGCCCTGAAGTTTATCCCTACACACGACAATAGGATGGGGAACATTGAGACAAAGACAGAACCTGAATAAAAAAAAAAATCTACAAATCAGTGAGAAGGAATTTAAGACACATATAAAAGAAACAATGTCACGTGATTACTTTTTTTTTGGTAACAGGGATTGAACTTAGAACCGCAGGCGTTGGCACCACTGCCTAAATCCCCAGCCCACCATGTGATACTCTTGATACAAAATCTAAAAATGGACGAAATAAGCTGTGCTTTTTATTTTTTTCCAGTACCAGGGACTGAACTCAGGACCTTGCACTTGCGAGGCAGGCACAGCACCAATGAGCTAAACCCCAACCCTCTGTACTTTTTTTTTTGAGACAGGGGCTCACTATGTAGTTGAGACTGATCTGGAACTCACTATGTAGCCCAGGCTGGCCTCAAACTCAAAGCGATCCTCCTGCCTCAGCTTCCCAAGTGCTGGGATTACAGGCATGCACCACCATACCCGGCCCCTCTGTGCTTTTTAGAAGTCCAAATAGTGGCTGTCTCCCAGGAGAAGGTGGGTCGGGGTGAGTGGTATGGATCTCAGAGGAATTCTGCGCTGCCTGCAGGGAGCAGCATCCAGGAGGGGACACAGAGGGGCTCTGGAGGCCATGACTTCCTGGTTCAGAGTGAGGGTACCTGTGCGCATGGGTGGGTAGGAACACATGTGTGCACATGTGCACAAACACACATGGATGCACTATACAGAAAGACACCATCTGCACACTCTATATAGTACTCCAAATTAAAAGTCAATTAAAACAACCACCAGGCCAGTATCTAAGACCTCTGTCCCCTGCTTCCAGGCAGAGCTCCTGCCATGTGAACAGGGCAGCCCTCAGGTAGTACCTGTCGCTTGATGGAGACCAGCTCCATGTCCAGCTGTCGCAGCACCGTGGTAGCAGCAGTGGCGTTGGCAGAAACAGCCTCCACATCCTCTTGAGAAAGAAACATCCCTTTTGGAGGTTTCCTTTTGGCTCTGTTTTTAGCTTGTGTGCTGTGTTTTTCTTTTTTCACCTGAGGAACTGCCTCAGCAGGGGGCACCTGTATGATACACAATATTTGGTAAGTAAAACTAAAAATGAAATTCATGTCAAATGAATACCAATAAGCATATATCTTTAAAAGGCCCTCAACAATGTAAGACAAATATAACACCACACGCTAAGCACCCTGGCTTGGATTCCAGCTAAACCCTTCGAGGTGTGCTCCTTTTCTTCCTTAAACAGAGACATCTTTAGTCTCTTTTCTGAAGCCTCTGCTAATAAGTGTTCTCAGCTTTCCAGAGTAACACAGGAAGAAAAGAAAAATTTTTCTATTATTCCCTTTTGAGCTTTAGGGCCATGCAGATACTTATTTATATGACACAGACACAAATACAGAACAGCTATTTTTATCCCAACAGTGGTCTCTAGCAATACACATTGCCAGATGACCAAAGAAAGAAAGAAAAAAAAAAAAAAGATTCGGCATGTGCAATAATCTATAATTCTTCAAGTCTTTCCATTAAGAAATACAATCTTGGGCTGGGGATTTAGCTCAGTGGTTTTGCTTCCTACCTCACAAGTGCAAGGTCCCGAGTTTGATCCCTGGTACAAAAGAAAAAAGAAAGAGACAGACAGACAGACAGACAGATAATCTTCAGGGCTGGGGGTGCAGCTCAGTGCTAGAGGATTTGCTTAGCAAGCGTGAACCTTTATGTTCAGTCCTCAACACAAAGGAAGGGCAGAAGTAAGGAGGGAAGAGGAAAACAGTACAAAAGAAGAGAAAAAACACAAACTTCAACAGCAAGTTATACTTTTACACACAATTTCTTTTTGAAAAACACCTGACTTCAGAGTAGCTATAGGGGTGGCAGTGAGGTGACAGACAGCTTGCCTAACATAGTGAGCCCTGGGTATGATGCCCAGTACTATTTTAAAAAGATAGCTTCTAGGGCAACTCGCATTACTTGCTTAAAGAAAAAAGTGCCATCAATTAAAAATGCATGACACTTGCTATTTATTTATTTATACTGGGGATGGAACTTGCATTTGCCAGGCAGGAGCAGCACTGCTGAGCTAAATCCATGGCCCAGCCGCTAATTTTTTAAAGTGCTATCTCTAAAACTACAACTTTCAGATTCAACACAATGAAATCTGGGCAAGGGAAGGATTAGATCTTATTGGTAACCATTTTAAAAGTAAGTTTTTAAGTTCATAATCTAAAGTTAAAAGTATGTTCAGTCTTTCTGCTTCATGTGGTAAAGATAACTTCTTAAACAAGTGGTAATAAACAACTTAGGCAATAAACTATATTCTACACAGCACTATTATGGTTAATAAAGACTATCTTTGGACTGTGTCCGTATAACAACATTTTATACTTAAACTAAGATTTAATCAATTTTCTTTTTGAATCAGGAATTGCATTATATAAATAAGAATTATAGTGGCTGACATAAAATCATTTTCTTTTTCTTTCTCTTTTTTCTTTTGGTTTTTTGAGACAGGGTCTCACTATGTAGTGAGACTGACCTGGAACTCACTATGTAGCTCAGGCTGGTCTCAAACTCACAGTGATCCTCCTGCCTCAGCCTCCCGAGTGCTGGGATTACAGGCCACCATACCCAGGCTAAAATCATTTTCTTATTCACTGGAAATGGTCCACTGAAGAACCTAATAAATCACACCACATCAGAGCAAAGCTCACTAGAAACCCCAGTCCAATTTCCTTTCCCAAGCACTAGGTTCAGTTAACCCTGAGGATCTTGCTACTCACTCGGGCATGCCTGCAAACCACTGGCAAGAACACCACCCAGAAAGAATGACCGATTTCCAATTTGGTGATACACGTTAAAAAGAGACCTTAAAAATGCATGTACAACACTCTTGACACAATGCAACTTGCAGAAATTAATTCTAATAGAAGAAAATAGGTGCACAAATATGGAGTTATGTGATCATCAATTCAGCACTATTTACACCAGCAAAGAGCAGGTGGAATAATCAAGTTAGAAATTCGCAGGTAATCAGTTAACCCAATTTGTAAGATTCATATATATGATGAATATATAACTGTATACAAGCACACCTAACAAAAATATATTCAAGGCAGAGTAAATTTTAAAGTTTGTAAAAATTACACTGCAAGAACTCCTTATTTTTAAAAAGTGAACAGTCACAATTATGTATGTATACAGACATATACATTTTACAGAAAAAGCGTCTGGAAGTCACCAAAATGTTAACAGTGACTACAGGTGGCAGCCATATAAATAACTCTAATCTCCTTCATTGTATCTAGCTTTATCCCCACTTTGCCTGAAGGAAGCATGTGTTACTTCTGTAATTTTAAACTCTGGCTGTGTCTAGGCCCTTTGTTTTGCTAAGCTTAAAAGCAACTCAGGTAGGGGCCTGGGATTTAGCTCAGTGGCGCCACCACCTGCTTCACAAGCACAAGGTCCAGAGTTCCATCCCCAGTAAAAAACAAAGCAAAACAAAAAACCCCAAAAACTGGAGGGTAAGATGAGAACCAAGACCTGTCACGTAAAGGTACAAGATCCCAATAATGAATGTAACTGTACCATACACCGAAGACGTACCAATAAATTCAATAAAACAACAACAACAACAAAAAAAACCTGGAGGATAAGAGACCACAGGCCTGGCCATGTGGCTGAGGTGACTCCTCTGCACCTTGGTGTAGAGCGCGTGCAGCAGCAGGGCAGCACAGGGGACCCTCGCCACAGCACGCCCTTGCTGCTCTAGGAAGACAGCCAGGCCGCACAGGACCAGCACCTGCTCACAGTGCCCCTTTCCCTGAGTTCTGTGAGGGAAAGCCAGGAGTGTCTGCAAGTCCTAATGCGGGACTATGTAAGATGGCACTTCATAAGTGAGTCCAACATGTGGGAGGACAGTTTTATTTGGGGAACTAGCAATAAAATGGATTTGTCTAAACAATACTCAGCGAAAATACCTCCTTTTTGCTTTCCTTGTTTTGATCAACCTCAATGTCAATGGGGTTACTTCCATTTGTCTCTTCCAGTTCATCCTCACTGGAAGACAAGAACAAGGAACTGAAAGGTTACTCTGCATTAATTTTATTCCACTTACAAATATAAGCAACATATTGACTTAATATAAAATTACTATATGTTTTCAGACTCTAGAGATCACTTTTTTTTTTTTTTTTT